ATCTGACTTCTGCAATTATGACCAAGAAGGTAAAAGTTATAAATCCACAATATCTTACTGCTTAATTCACACAAGACAAACTGCTCTTTTACACATATAAAAACATACAAAAGTATATGTTTATTTATTTGTTTTTGTAGCAGGACCTTCTATTTGCTGCAATTCTGCTACTTGGTATGTTCACCTCAGCAACTAAAGAAACAAGATTTGGTTTTGAAAATTTTACAATTTGTATAAAATCGCTAACAAACATTTATTACATTTACCAGGGTATGTGGGACTAAGTCATCAAGGTAAAACACATTAACTTTATTTTTTTCAAAGCCTTAAACCTGCTGTTTAAATCTCTCTGGTGTTTAAACGTTTTAAAATTATGGACTATTTCAACATGATCTTTGGTCTCTACAGTTCTACATTTGTTCATTTTTGCTCCTGCAGAATGCTGGTCCAGGAGGTTTAATCGAGATACCCCGGATGGAACTGGTGACTGGGAGGATATGAGTGACCTGAGGAAAGAATACCCAGGACAAATTTGTGACAATCCGACAGATATTCTGGTCGTTACTGTAGACAAAGGGATCCCAGCTAAACAGACAGGGCAAATATTCTACATGTAAGTTTTCTTTCAAAAGTAAAATAAAAACCTGATTAACTACCAAACTCTGTCTTCCATCTTCAGATTGTAATGATGCACTGCCTTATATCACTCCCTACACATTTGTTTTTCAATTAATAAGTGTATTTTACACAAATCATAAAATTTTCCCAGAATTGCACCATTAAAATAAAATTTGTTGAGCTTGATCATAAAAGATAAACGTAAAAAAAAATGTGATTACATTATTTGATTTGGACCAAAAATTAAAATATTAATACATATTTACTGGTATGTGTAGGTGTGTATTTATTTTTGTTTGTTTTGTCTTTGTTTGTGGTTTTTTTGTGTTTTTTTTTTTTTTTTTTTGGGGGGGGGGGTATGAATATGTGTGTATGTGTTGTAAAATGTGTAATAAATCTAAACAAAAAAAATCACTTGTAGTAGTATTTTATATATGTAGCATTAGAAATTTAAATTGTATTGCTGACTCATTATCTGATCTTTTTCAGCTACAGTCCATCTCGAGGGTTTGTTTGCCGTAATGCGGACCAGCCTTCTGGAAAGTGCCTCGACTACAAAGTTAGCTTTTGGTGCCCATGCAGTTTTGCTCGCTGAAACCACTGCTGCAACAAACCACAGGAAGGAAAAAAAATTATTTGGCTTTAATTTTTTTTGCTATTTTTTGTTTCATTCACAATTTTTTTTCCATGAATGATATAAATAAATTTTAAAGCTATAGGGCTTGTATTTTTCTTATTAAAAGGAGCCTCTTCTGTTACATGGGCTGTAAAGGCTTCATTTTCTTTCTGTTGGGAAATAAAGTAACTGTAAATATAAGAATTTGGGGAAAGCAAACTTTGTTTTATCTGTTTTGTCCTGCACAAAGAAAATAATATCTATGAAAGAAAAAAAAATCTGCAAAAAACAGAAAATGTAATCTTTATATTTATACACTCTAAAAATGGTATTATCAAAATATATTTAAAATTTGAACATCGTTTAAAGCACAATCTTTAAATTTTGGGAAAAATAAATGCCAATAATGAAAATTAGTTTTGTTTTGATTTATTTGCCAATCAAAAACAGAATGTGCTTTAAATACGTTCCTTTCCAAAGATAGTAACGTATGCATATTAGGGGTTGCACAACTTCATATATGTTTAAGTCAACCTCAACATGATATAAGTCGAGTTGATGTCAACTAGTCGCTGTGACATTGCTATATTACCCATATTCATAGAAAAAACGTAATTTATTATTTACAAAAAAAAAACAACAACAACAATAAAAAAAACATTTGGAGCATATATTTATGCTCCTGCCATTTATCATACTGCAAATAAGTCACAGGAAAACCAAAACTATTATTAAGTTGCAAAAGTGAAAGAAATGTGCCTATTTTAGAATGGCACGTAAAAAAAAACTAAACTAAAAACGGTGGTCGTGGGGAGCAGTGGTGGATTAAATAAAGTTCACTCGTCCCCACTTACAGTTTTTGGTCCTGATTTACATGTAAGAAAAAAAGAGCATTAAAATGGCA